GTGCGTTCACCTGACCTACATGTGGACACTGGTCGTCACTGCCAGTCACTCAGACCGCCTACCTCAGTTACCGTAGCAGCTACCTTCACCAAGGCTTCACCCTCACACTCGTCCCTCAGTGTAACCGTCACCATGCTACCTGCACAATAACCGCATTCTCAAACACATTCCTTAGGTTTCAGACGCACAACAAACACACTAGAAAATCAAACGATAACTAAATAAATTTAATATTATATATCAACATGTGATATCACAATATGCAAAATAACCACAGTAAAAAAAATATTGAAATTCCAAGCGCTTTCGTGATTTTTCACATTACCAAGGAATAATTAAAATAATAGAACAGAAGACCTGTAAGACTGAGATATTACCTCACATATGACCTAACACATGACCCAGCATGCTGAGCGTAGGTGTATAGTGAAGCTTTGGTTAGATCACATGTCAAGTAAAATATATGAGCGGCATGTTAGGCATAATTTAAATGTGTCACAAATTCTATTAATTATAAATGAATCTAAATTCTATAACCCTGAACTAATATTCATTTTGAATTCAGTACTATTTTTTTTATGAAATTTGATTCGGTTATATTTCGGTCGATTGTGAACCTGCTTGATGCAACTTTCTCAGCTTTTTGAAAATCAATTGGGTGGCTATAATCTCGCATGAAGAAACCTGGCTGTGATGGATATGTGTGTCAGCAGGCCGCCAGCAGCAACAGCCTGGCTGACCAGGCAAGCACCAGAGGAGCCTAGTCCAAGGCCTGGTTCTGGGATTAGAAAAACTTTGGAAACTCGTCAAAGGTATATCAGAGTTATCCTGCTAAATTCCTCATGTTCCTTATCAGCCGAGCTGTGGTGCTAATGTTGGACTGCATGGTGCAGGCATCAACAGCCTGAGTAATCAAGCCATTAATGAGGAGGTTTGGTCTAGGTAAGGTAAATTATATACTGGATAACTAGAACCGTCAAAACAAGAGATGCCTTCAAAACGGATAGTTCAGCAGCTCTGTTCACGGCAGGTGAAATTGCAAATTTGGAGAATATGCATAGAACCTTTACTGCCTTCATAGGTTCAGTCAAGCACATAAATTACTGGTAACGTTTGAAGTTCCTTGATCTGTCCTCCTTGGAACTTAGGCAACATAAGTACATTATAATATGAATTTGAAAATTTTAGAAGGATTGGTCCCAAATCTGCTCACGCAAATTGTTTCACATTAAAGCAAGAGCCTTGGTAGACTGTGCAAGATACCCCAATGAAAAGCAGCGTTCAGTGAGTACACTAACAAAAAAATATAAGTGTGAAGGGGCAAGACTTGGGGATTACCAACAGACCCCTGGTTGTCTTCAAGAGAGAAGAAACGTTTTTTCAAGTCATTTCCTGATTAGCTAAGCTGTGGTGCTTGTGTTGACTTCTTGAGCCTAGCACCAACAACCTGGTAAATCTGGCCATCCACCGGGAGGCCTGCATTGGGACCGGGCCGTGGGGACGTTGACCCTTGCAATACACTCCAGATAGGACCTACTTCCACCTGTGGATTTTTCCATGGTGACACCGCTTACGATTGCTTCGCCTTACTTGCCTGCACTATATAAACCACCTCTTCGCGCACATGTTGCATTCTTTTCAAGTTTGATGGACTGATTACATGAACTCCAGGCTGAGGGACTTGTTACCTCAAACTCCTGATTTTCACCCATTCTACTATGGTTGGCGAAACGTTTCCACAGTAAAGATACCCAAGTGTTGCACAAGTGTCTAATTCATCAACTTGTCAGTTCTCTGAACCATTTTTCTACAGGCCCGAATAAAACCTATAAAACATTTAAATTACTAGGAACGCCCTAAAGTCCTAAACATGTACTCACTGGACCAGAGGAAAATATAAAATATACCTGGAAAGTACTTGAGGGTCTTGCTCCAAATTTGCACACTGCCATAACATACTGGAGCGAGAGATATAGAAGGAAGTGCAAAATAAACTCAGTGAAAAGCAGGGGCGCTGTGGGAACAAGAAAGGAACACACTATCAACGTCCATCGCCCCGGACTATTCAACATTTTACCACAAGTTATGAGGAACATTGCTGGGACAAGTGTAGAAGTCTTCATAATTTATTGTTTTTAAATATTAATTTGCTTTATGTTAACCTTTTTCTTACACGCCAAACAAGAAATAGGGGGCGGTAGCGGCTTCTCTCCTCAACCTCGATCACAGACTCGGATATTTAAACGAAAGGGTTTTGTTTCCCCTATTTCCGTTCTCAGTAGTGGTAGCAGTAAGTTTAATAGTACAAGACGGAACGTCCACTGATGCCCAAGTATTAACCCCTTTATACACCTAATAGGTGTATTAATAGTTTTGCCAACCATAACAACCTTTGCCCTGTGTTCAGTTGTGTTCAGTGTTATATCATTCAGGAGAAATTGTACTTAATACATGGGAGTTAACTACTACCCCCCCCCCTCCTGCCTGTCTTCAGGGGAGAACTTCCTAGGTCACTGATAAGTTGGGATGTTATGATGGTTATATGGGACTGCTTTCAGCAAGTACTGGCAAACTGACTGACCAGGCTCTCAATCCCAAATCTGCACACACAAATCACTCCCTACGAAATTAAAAGACTGGGCAGGCGATGCAAAATGCCCCCAATTAAAAGTAGGGGCACCACTGGTACACTAAGAGAAAACACCATAAGTGTCCGGGGCCCAAGACTGTTTAAAAGCCTCCCATCAAGCATTAGGGGAATTACCAATAAACCCCTGGCTGCCTTCAAGAGAGAGCTGGACAAATGCCTAAAGTCAGTGCCGGATCAGCCGGGCTGTGGCTCGTACGTTGGACTGCGTGCGGCCAGCAGTAACAGCCTGGTTGATCAGGCCCTGATCCACCGGGAGGCCTGGTCATGGATCGGGCCGCGGGGGCGTTGATCCCCGGAATAACCTCCAGGTAGACTCCAGGTCTGGGGCACTGATGTCCAGAATTAAGTAATAACTAAGTAATGCCCTTCCAGGTATTTATGTATCACGATATTATTGACTTTGTTTTTCGTTAGACGTCTGTCGTAGCAGTTATCTTTGTCACTTTTTTCACAGATATTATCTTGTTATAACATATGTGTTCTTTTTAAAAACTTCCAAATGGGAATCTCTGGATCTGGTTAAGTGATCGTGATTTGTGAGCGGCGACACACTTTTATTTTAGTTATTAGAAAGCCCTAAACCTGTAGGGGTCATAGAGCGCCTTGAAAGTGGGAGGTAATTGGATTCGATCCAAGGAAATAGCGGTCAGATCAAATTCTTTGTATGAAGAACCCCCCTATCCGGCGTCTAAGTCACTTGTGGGAAACGGGAAGACAGAGTAGGACAAACCTACATTACACTGGTCACTCCTGAGGGAGTGTCTTTATTAATTTAGTACAAGCACATTGTACGACTACCTTCATCTGTTAATTTAGTACAAGCACATTATGCGACTACCTTGATCTATATGACAGTTTACACGGTTACACCAAGAAATGAATGTTAAAAATGGTATAAAATATCGACAGGTTGATGATGAAGACACGTGCAATAGTTGGTTATCTTTATTGATGAAACGTTTCGCCTACACGGTAGGCGTCTTAGATCAGATACAAAGGCAGCAGGTGTAGTAGTGAAATGACGATTGTGTGATCAGTCCATCAACCTTGGAGAAACTGTATTTGAGGTGGTCAGTCCCTCAGGTTGGAGAAGAGTTCAACCTGTGTATTTAACTGAAGAAGCCTACTGTGTATGCGAAAAGTTTCAGCAGTAAAGATACCCAATTGTTAACACACGTGTTTTGTTCATCAAGAACTGTATTCACCCCAGCTCAGCCATCACTTAATGTTTTCTGTCATACTCCACAAGCAACAAAGAAAATGTACCAGCATGAGCTGGGAAACTTCAGTAGGGCGATGGAGATACCTTCAAATGTACCTCTTTGGGGTTAGAAATTAATGCCAGAACGATGATAAATGTTTTCATGAGGAAATTGTACCATTGTCTGCTTTAAGTGTGTGATCAGCAACAGTCTGGTTCACCAGGCGGTCAAGAGGAAAGTCTAACCTCAGGCCGGGTTGCATCAGTACAAGTATCGTAGGGGTTCTTAAATGGAGATATTGCGGGTTGAAGGTAGACACACTTGTTGGATGGTAACATATATTGTCAATCTGAGTTGATGGGAGATGGAGCCCAGCCTTGCCGTGTACTAGTCTGGATGGTCTGCCGCCGAGTGAGGCCGGGGCAGAGGTACGAGCGTACACATGCGCACCCCGTGACGTCACACAAAGTCACAGGCCTACAAGGGATCTCTTATCTAAAGCACATGGATGATACTATATGCTATGCTATATAACACAGGGATCAGCAACTATGCTGACACAAGGGCTAGCAGTCTGCCAACACCAACAGCCTGGTTGAAGCAGTCACAGGTGTAACATAGAGGTTCTTGGGTATAGTGCCAAGGTTTATCTCCACAGTAACTTTAGTGGTTGTAGAGAAATGGTATAAAATATGGATACGGTGGAAACCAGCACACACAAATGATTCAGTGTAATGAGATCCTTTATTTTGTCCAGGAAGTGGTCTTTTTCCAGACCCGTCAGGCTCTGGCTCTGGCTCTGGCTTTGGGCTGGGCTGAGCTTCTGGAGTAAGGAAAGTTCTCGAAACCCTTCAAAGGTATATCAGAGTTAAGTCACTCAAGTTGTAAAAGCCCACTGCGCGGGCGAAACGTTGTATCTCACTACACTGTATTTGTGTGTTTCCAGCAAGAGTTATTTTTGGTGTGTCCAAGGAATGTCCCGGGAAATAAATTTTGTGGTATCCACAGACAATTCTTTACTTGAGTTAATGGTTTTCTTCCAACAACTACACGCTTAAATTTTTTTTATGAGGAATATAATAGTGTTACCATTACTAAGTCTCTAAAAAAAATATTCGCGTAATTATTATTTTTTTTTTTTTTTGCAGGCAAAGGAGATGATGAGGTGGACAGATCAAGCGTGAGTATTCCCCGTTATGATCTTTATTATAAATCGGAGGATAATTATACTGTCTATGAAGATTCCCTAATGAATTTATTAGCTTAAATTTAAAAATTTAATTCTAGCCTTTGAGGCTTTGTTAAAGTAATTTATTTTTAATATTGTAGTAATAACATAGCTTTGTAGAGTGAACTATATTGTTAAACCTTTAAATGAACACTTTTCACTTAGATCCAAATTTGTTTTGTGAGTGATTTGTCGATGTGTCGGTGTACGTGTGGTGCATTTGTATTATATTAAGGTAATGAGGTGTATCATGTTCACCGTCACTGTTATATCATCTTCACGGCCACCATTATGTTTGTTGGTTGTATCGTTTTCACCTACACCGTCATGTCTTGTATAATGTTCACCGCCGTCACTGTGATAAGCACGTCAGTATGCGGGTATTGTAGCACCAGCACACGCACACTTCTCGCTTTTAACTTAATACCCCAATCATTTATTAAGGTAAGTTTATGTATAAATACCAGTACGTGTAATCTGTAACAAACTCAGACTGTACGTTTTTCTCTGTTGTGTTGGTATTGTAAATGTCAATGAAGCGTAGCTTTGTTGGTGGCATATCATAGAGGGGGCATCGAGAGAGATGCTAGGCAAAGTGAAATCTTAGCATGAGCCACAGTTGTTTGGAATCTTTAGTCACTGACGTATGAGGCATTTTCTTCGTGGATGGTAATGTTCTCCCTACACCACATGTCTGTGGGACAGCATTAATAGCATGTAAGGGTGGTGAGTGAGTGAGAAAGTTGCCTTTGCTTGGGTGGACTGTAGCTTTGTGTGTTGAATATGCCTGTGTGCTCGTTCTTTTTAGATTAGAAGTTTCCAGTTATGCACCCGTCTGCCTGGAGAGTTCCAAGGGTCAACATCCTCGCGGCCTGGCCCCAGTCCAGGCCTCCTGGTGGATGGTCTGATTAACCAGGCTGTTAATGCTAGGTACACGAAGTTCGGGGGTTTTCCAGTGGACAGTGGAGAGCATCATAACGTTCAATGATCATAAGTTTCAGTTGCTTATATATGGAAAGAACAAAGCACTCAGTAGGGACACTATATACAAAACCCAAAACTCAACAGATAGAGCGAAAGAAACAGGTGAAAAATCTTGGAGTAATTATGTCGGCTAACCTTTCTTTCAAAGAACACAAGGCAAATGCCACGACAGCCAGGGAGATGACGGGGTAGTTATTAAGAACTTTCAAAACAAGAGAAATAGTCCCATTGTTAACACTATTCAAATAGCTTGTGCTCTCTTGTTTAGAGTATTGTTCGGTATTGACGGCCTCGTTCAGGACGGGGGGAGATATCGAAACGAACAGATGCAGAGACCATTTACTGCCCGCATAGAGCTAGTAAAGGTTATATATTACTGGGAATGCCTTAACCCGTAAACTGTCCAAGCAGATCTACGTTCATATGCGTAATGCTCCAAAAGTAGATCTACTTTTTTTTTTTTTTTGCATATTTTCAAATATAACAAAAAAAAGTAGATCAAAGTTTTTTTTACATGTTTTCAAATGTAAAAAAAAAATATCTACTTTTTTACATACTTTAAAATGTTGAAAAAACGTAGATCTACGTTTGGACAGTTTAACGGTTAAAGTACTAAATATGTATTTGCTGGAGTGGAAGAGAGAGATATGCATGATAATATATACCTGAAAAGTACTCGAAGGCCTAAATAACAAAAAAAGGCACAATACCGTGACGGAACGATACACAAATAACCCGCACATAGAAGAGAGGAGCTTACGACTTACGAAGGCCTAGTTCTAAATCTTCACACTGTCATAACACAATACTGGAGAGAAAGATATATATATATATATATATATATATATATATATATATATATATATATATATATATATATATATATATATATATATATATATATGATAGATGGGAGGAAGTGCAAAATATATCCAGTGAAAAGCAGGTGCGCCACGGGCACCATAAAAGAAGATTGTATCAACATCCATGGTCACAGACCATACAGTAGAAAAACTCAAAACTCGTCAAAGATATATCAGAGGTAAGCACTACAGCCTGGCTGATCAGGGACTGATTTGAGAAACTTGACCAGTTCTTTCTTGAAGACACCTAGAGGTCTGGTGGTAATCCCCCTTTTGTATGAAGAGAGGACACATAAATAGCATAAAACACTGACACGATGGGAAAAGTCACAAATGCAGTATAATGCGATACTCTAATGACTACGTTTCGCCCACACACTGGACGTGACTGCTTCACACTTATTGAGTTTTCCCTCAGTGTCCTCATTGCACCGGCTTTTCGTAGGGGGTATTTTGCACTGTGTGCCAAGCCTCTTACTTTCATGGGTTAACTGGAGTCTCTTCCAGAGGTCACCACTCCCAAAGTCCGATCCCAGACCAAGCCTCCTTATTGCTGGGCTGATCGATAAAGCTGTCAGTGCCTGTTGCTCGCGATTCACGATATGCACCACAGCTCGCTTGACCAGGAACTGATTTGAGGAATTTGTCGAGTTCTTTCTTGAAGACAGCCAGGGGTCTGTTGGTAATCCCCTTTATGCGTAAAAGGAGAGTATTGAAGAGTCATGGTCCCTTTATACTTGTTGAATTCTTTGTGTACGCATCACTCCCCTGCTTTTCGTCAGAGGTATCTTGCAACTTCTGCCAGCCTCTTGTGTTTATATGTAGTTATTTCGGTGTGCAGGGTTGGGAGCAATCCTTCCATAATCTTTCAGGTGCAAAGTATCCTGCATCTTTCTCGTCTGCGTTCCAAGGAGTACCGATCAAGGTCCTTCAAACATTCCCAGTAATTTAAGTGTTTGACTGGATCTACGAGGGCAGTGAAGATTCTCTGCACATTCTCAAAGTTTGCAGTTTCGCTTGCCTTGAACGGAGCTATTAGGATACAGCAGTACTCCAGCTTAGAGAGAACAAGTGACTTTAGTATCATCATTGGCGTGTCATGCCTTGTTTTGGAGTTCTAGTTATCCAACCTATCATTTTCCTTTCGGTTTTGATAGTGACACTTGTGATCCTTGAAGGTGAGATTTGAGATGATCAATCCAAGGTTTCTCACGTAAGTCTTACACTGAGTGCTTCGAGTTTGTTTTATACTCCGTTCCTTTCTTTATTGTCTCAGTCATTCCGTAACTGAGTAACTAAAACTTGTCCTCGTTGAGCATCATATTGTTGTCAGTGGCTCAACGGAAGACATTATGTCAACTTTTAGTTAATTTAGATCTTGAAACTCGTGCTCGCAATGACTATCGGGACATAAGCTTGTGTTTGAATGTCATGGGTAGGGTGTAGGTAGTGTCAGGTTGTTGAAGTAGGCACATGTAACAACATTGTATATTTTTATGTTGCAAACTGTTCACTAACCAGTAGTTTTATTAATTAATACAATACAAGGATATAAGGAAGACCATACACGAGGAGGTAATGAGAATTATGTAAAAACGGTAGATGATGAGGTATGAGCAGGTGCTTTGTACCCGAGTCCTGGTGAATCTGAATATAATTGATGTAATGAGAAGTTTCAGGTTGGGTGGGAATTGCTTCAGTGACTCTTTAACAGCTTCCTTGATAGTTACAAGTAATACCTCGTCTCTTCGTGACATTTATAATTATGTTGGAGTTGTGGGCTAAGAATACATGTTAAATGCTATATGGTGTTTCACCATGGGTGGTGTTCTAACAGCAGTAAGCCTCTCGCCCTCAGGCAGATATATCAGAGTGGAATTCCAGAATGTGATCAGAGATGTGATAAGAAGGTAGTCTTGGTGATGTAGTGTATGTGACTATATCTGAAAACGCAAGTGTTAGGTGCGGTGCAGTATAGTTGAGGAAGCTAGTCATGGTGTTGGCGACACCTAGTATATGCTATAATTCTGTCAGCAGTTAACCGGATACAGTGCAAAATAGCGGTGCCTTAATAAGTAGTGTGATGTTATCTAGGTAGTATAACAGTACACCTAGGTAAATCCCTGTGGAATATGTACATCGGCGATTTATAAATCCCTAGAAAGGTAAATGATGGTGTATTATTAGCTTAACATCCTGTTGTTCTTACAATGACAAGTTCACTTTCCTTGTGTCTTCCCTTTGTCAGGTTTTGATATGTATGGAATACCAACGACAACAAATACATTATGCGGAAACTTCAGTAATGATGTTTGGCCCTCGCAGGGCTTTATCAAGTCACAGATAAACCTGGTCACAAAGGATAGATGCATCTAAGAGCTCAGTAACGAATTGGTGGGGTGATGGGCAACTTAAACAACCCTTTCGTAGTTTACCTAAGTTCCTACAATTATTAGATAAAAAGGAATGGCGTATCGTTTGTTGCCAAGGAAAAGGACACTCTTAAATCGCTCATTTTACAACAACTTTAACCAAAGGACAGCATTAACAACTTGGCAGAACCTCTGGCTAGAATACTCCTAGAATCATCGGGAACCAGTGTGACTTGACGCACACCTCATACTCTTCACTGAACTCAAAACTTGTTATATATATTATACGTTCACCCTCTCATTCCAGGGTTATCCGTTTGTGTCGAGATCAAGTCCGTTGCGTAGGAGAAACGTCGCCAATAAAGTTTAAACTTACCTGCATTCGTCTCCCTCCCCTCCTCATAATCTAGCAGGTGCCAGATTAACCGGGTTGTGACGGGTAGGTGGGCCTGTTGGTCGCTTGCACACACAGCTTGGTTGACCAAGGAGTCGGTAAGGAAGCTTGGCCTCAGGCCTGGCTGTAGGGGTAGAAGAGCGCTCTAAACAGGCCACGGGTAAAGGTTATGGGTAATCAGTTAAAAAATATTGAGATGTCTGGCATGTTGTATTGATGTGCACTTCTGGGTCCTCGGGCTCTTCACTGCTAGTCTTTTGGTTTTGAATGTGTGAATGTGTTTTTATCACCCTACACAAATTTTACTAAGAAACCTTCCCAGGATGTTGGTTTGTCTGT